CATAACTATTACAACGAACCTTTGCGTTTTGTGGCCCCCTCATCAAAAGTAGAAAAAACAGGATAAGGCTGGGTTCTTTGTTTTGGTAATGGGTTTGGTTTGGTACAAACTTTATGGAATAGCTGGTGGGCACATCACGCTTGAACGCAAGAAGAAGGCAATGATCTTCCTTATGGCCCCGTCTGTTGCATTTCTGACAGAGCGTTTTTTGAACGGACAGAATCTGACGAAGTGCCATTCCTCACATTGCCAGAATGCGAATAGTGACCTACTTTGCTTCGTGGAACTTTGGCGCTGGTTTGACACCGCCAGCACATCTACGGGACATAGATTGCAGCCTTGGGCAATCAGGTTTGTGTCATGTTTCAAATTGATGAGCCTGGTATTCAGAAGTGATGAACATGAGATTGGTAGACGGATCCTGCTCAATCTTTCTGAGCAACCTCATGCGTATTTCGACACCCTCGGGCGCTTGGAGACCGCAAACAAAAATATGCGCCTTAAACTACTGACCCCTCATCTCCTTCAGCTTGAATCGCCCACATTGACGGTTGAGGTTACTAGCGTAAGAAACAAAATGGTCTGATGCACTTTTAACCAGCCCCATGCAACTGTACCAGACGCTGAATAAAGAAGCCTGTTGTTTGAAAACGTTATTTAGCACTTGTACAAGCTGCACGAATGTAAAATCTCTAGGGCATTAAGGCAAAATAAATTTGAGTAACTTTTCGTGTTCTTTGGTCCCCAGCTTCAGCAAGAGCGGCCTGCACTTCCGTCCGTCGTCAGCATCAGCGAACTCCGAGCGGAAAAGGTCTTCGTATCTTCCGAACTAAGCTTCAAACTTGCATCCGGGTCGTACTGAAACTCGCAAATGCTGTTTGAGATGGCATCCACGGAAGACTGCTGCTTATCTGTGCTTGGTCTTGTTTGCACCGCAAGACACTGAAGGATATTCTCGAGTAATCATGTCTGGCTTTCTGCAAATTGCTTCTGTTGATGTCGTAGTATTGCAGTAAGCTGCTCCACTGCGAACATCATTTTTCCGTATTCTTCGGTCAAAATTACCCCGTCACCAGTTGTTATGGTCACCAAGGTCGCACCGGGCCGCTCCGATTACCTGTTCAAGAGAAGCTTGTCCGCCCCGATTGACCAACGTAAAAGGCATAGTCGTAGGCACGGTTTAATCACTGGCAAGCACAAGACGAGTACAGATCGCAGAGCACCGATATTTATTTGTTCGTAGCGACTTTCTTGAACTTTCTCTGTTCTCTTTACTTACAAATGATAGTATTTGATATTGCGAGAAAATTCTATTAATCAACCTTTACGATTCTCCTACTTGGTTTTTGGAAGTAGACTGGTGTTTCATCCGTTTAGGGTTCACTGTTCTATTCGTTAGGAAATGCTCCTCTTAACATTCTTGACTGTCGTAAGTGTGCAAGAAGCATGCACGATTGCTTTCTGCGATCCGTATTCTGGCTCTTTTGTTGGGATTAGAAATAGGATGAACACGTTCGGTTAAATACACTTGTTGACATGCCTAGAAACCGACTTCAGTGGCGTTTGTGTTGCGGAATTTCTTTGTGCATCCTTCTCCAACCAGAATCTCATTTCATAGGTATAATATGATACTTTTTGCGGCATAGTAACCGACTGGTAGTTCCCAGGAACGATGCCCATCCGTTACTGGTGGCTCAGCTGGTGTGCCTTTGTTGCAAGGTTTCTCTTGTTTTCTTAAGCATTGAGGATGATGCGTAGGTTACTCCGCGTATTAGCAAAGCTTTTTAGAAGCTCGTTCCTTTCTAGCGACTCGGGATAACAGCCTTCCACTCGTACGTAGAATGTGCAAGCTGTGATGATACCAGTGTTACTGTGAGAGACCTTGGGACTTCGCATTAAAGGCCTCACACGATTGGAACTTTTTGATCACCGGTTTTTGCATGGTATTGCTCACATTAAGTGGGAACACTGAGTGAGCAAGGCTGAGGTCCGTCAGTTGGTTCCTGACAAGAAGCCCTCTGGTGCTTCACTTGTGTTTGTCAAAGCATAACTGATTACCTTGACTATGCCGTGTCTCCCTTTTATCCATTGGACGGCATCCTCGGGGTGCGTTATATGCTGTCGTTATATCAGCGCCCGTGGGACTGAAGATGAGATCACGAACCGTATAGCAAAAGCTCAAGACGCTTTTGCTAACCTTCGCCACTTATGGCGCCGGCGTGATAACACTCTTGCTCTTAAGGGTAGAGTGTACAATGCAGCAGTACGTTCGACCCTACTGTACGGTTGTGAAACCTGGCCGCTTAAAGCAGCGGACCTCAAGAGGTTAGTTACGTTCGACCACCGGTGCCTTCATAATTTAGCTCACATCTGGTGGGAACACCGCGTGAGCAACGAGCGTGTTCGATGCCTTGTTTATGGCACAGGAAAAGGAACTGAACCGCTCAGCACCGGTATTTCACGCACTAGGCTCCGATGGCTCGGCCACGTGTTACGCATGCCAGCCCATCGACTCCCGCGACGTGCGTTGTTTACGCGCCGGGGGTGTGGATGGAAGAAGAGGAGGGGTGGCCAAGCGATGACTTGGTCGAGAGGAATGAAGGCCCTCACTTCTGAGCTGGCCTCGGTTGGAACGTCTCGGCTCCCTGGTTGGGGTCCGAAAGACGATGAACACGTTTGGTTGGACACACTTGTTGATATGGCTTGGAGCCGACCTCAGTGGCGTTCGTGCTGTGAGTTTCTTTGTCCCACCCCATCCCTCTTAGCCTCCCCCTCCAACCAAGATCTCATTATTTAACCTTACTTAATTTTGCATAGTAATTTTTTTGATGCACAGTAGCCGGCTGGTAGCTTACCGGAACGATGCCCATCCGTTACCGGTAGCTCAGCCGGCTTGCCTCAGTTGAATTCTTTTTCTCTCTCCTTTTTTCTGTGTATTGCGGCACAGTAGCTGAGGTGTTCCCCACCTCTAGCTAACTTCTATGAAGATGATGTCGTTGCGCCAAGTTGGGCGAAACTGCAAGATGGCTAGTCGATGACGTGGCACTAAGGCATGTAGGAGTTGACCGAGGGACGTAACCAGGCTTGTGGATTCGTGGATTCATTTCTCGGTATTGTCCACCTAACTTTTTGGAGATTATCAGACATCACGCAGTCAGTGGCGCCCTTGGATTCTTTTTCCAATACCTAGCTGTCAACATTCGATTCCGACTGCTTTTATTCCCTTTTTCTTAGCCCATTTTCCTTGAATTCAGTTTACTTGGCAGTTGCACCAATCGCACTTTGATGCCTAGACCATAGTCGTTTAACTGGACTGAGCGCACAGACAAAACTTAGTCTAATTCATGTTTTTTTTCTGTCAGTAAAAGTGCCTTTGTTGGTGCCAGAGTAGCCGCATGATATTCGTTATCCACCGCCTAACTTAGTTCTCCATTAAACATCCAATGCAACCGAATGCTCATATTTCATTCCTTTTTAAGCTCTATCCCTCATTTTCAGCTTGATCGAAGCACGCAAACAAGTTCCGATGGGCACTGAGTTTCAGCGTGTTCGTAACTTTCTGAAATTACGCATCGCAAGGAGTCTTCGAATCGATCGGGAACCTTGGTTTATAGCAAAGGCTTGTCGAATCGCCTGAGCTGTCGTCGGAAGTAAATGTCACACATCCTACTTTGGAAGAGATACAACATGAGCTTTCCGTGTTGAAACGAAACAAACCTCCTGGACCCTATGACCTTCCTCCATCTTTGCCGTTGTTATCGTTATTCTTGCGATATGAGTCGTAGCAACTGGATACACCGCATTTCGGCGCTCGGTTCACAGTTGCTTGATTGAACTGAACTTTGCACAGACTGACGCGTAGCGCTGTACGTTTCGGCATGTACTTTGCGCTTTCAAAGTCTAAAGTACTGTCTCAGGACTGAACCAGTAGGCCACTGATTCTAGCCACCAGCAAACAATCAATGGAACTGGTAGATCGATACACACCGTAGTAGCTGTGTCACAATTGGTATTCACATCACTTGGGTACTTGCTTCGCTTATCAAGGAGGTCCATGTGGCTTTCCAGTGGCTCAACCATCTATGGAGATGATGGGATACCAGCCACTCAGACAAAGGCAGGGTGCATAACGTTGCAGTAAGACCGGTGTTACTGTATTGATCAGAGACCTGGCCATTTCGCAGTGAAGGCATTCTACGCTTGACCGTGTTTGACCATCGGTGCTTGCGAAGTATTGCTTCCGTTTGGTGGGAACACCGAGTGAGCACTGCTGGGCTACGCCAAATAGTTTTTAGCAAGAAGCCTTCTGACGCCTCCGTCGAATGCTTGATTAAGGTCAACCGCTTACGTTGGCTAGGCCATGTCCTCCGTATGCCCGTTGACCGGCTTCTTCGGCGTGCATTGTACACCGTAGCTGCACCGTTGGACAAAATCACAAGGTGGCTAGTCGACGACGTAGCATAAAGGCACGAATAACTGGATTGAGAGACTTGGTTAAGCTGGTGCGCGCTGTCTTCGTGGATGGGGGCTCCGAGATAGCTTGCACCGGAAGGTAAAGACTCTATCAGACATGGCGTAGTCACGCAGTCAGTGGCGTTTCTGCATTCGGTTTCTTGCATCTAGCCGGTAGTTTTCATTTCATCCCGCTAAGCTTTGCGCTTTTCTGCCCTGATTGTGTTTTCTTAGCATTCATTCTCATTTTCTTGCTTATGTTGTTGTTTACTATTATTATTATAGCGACGTGAGTCGTGGCAACTGGATCCACCGCACTCGATGTCCGGATCATAGTTGCTCGCCTGATACACATCTTCAACACGACCAACAGTACAATTGGCGTGGTGGCACAACTTGATTGTACTTAACTGACTTCATATTTTAGCTTACTTCTTCATGCGATGCTTTGACCACCATACTCGCTCGATTCTCCCGCTTAGTCCTCATTAGCTCATTGTATTTTACGTACGCTACGATCGACACCATGCACCTTTTCTTTTCTCCAGGTGGAAGCTCTCGAGGTGCTCCTCCTCGCGGAGTAGGCAATGGATACAATCGGGGAGGCATGAACCAACCTCGCGGAAATGAAGATGGATGGTTTACCCGTGGTCGACCTAGTATGGGCGGAGGTGCTCGCTTCTGTGAGTTTCAACAATCCACTCGATCTTACGTGCACTGCGCATTTTCGACTTTTCACTGATCAACTGAGGACTTTTGTGCTAGCTTATCTGCGTAAACCTATTCACTGTGATGACGTACGGTTGAGACCTAGTTGTCCCAACTACCGAGATGCTTCTCGGTAATTCATATATTGCTACCATTTGCTTAGACACATTCATAGAAATGGATGATATACCAAACGTAGTCGTTAACAGCATTTTATGTACAGGTCTGTCCGCCGTTTGCGCGAGCACCATAGGAAACCACTTGCGACTATACGCCTTTTTCATGCGATTCCTTGACTTCCTACATAGGAACACGCACATCAGTATTTAGCCCCGTTTGTTTGACTAAGGGTACATTTTGCGCGCCATTTAGTTGAAAACCTCATTTGTATCAATCTGTAGTGATCTATCGAACGTCTTCAAAATAACTGGAGGTGTCCCATTTCTATTCGGTTCTACTATAGACTCGGTCACGGTGCTCCACTGTTGTTTTTTCGATTCAAGTGCTGAGGTGTTACTCGGGAGAAAACTGGTTCACTTGGACTATGCGGACGGCATCGTCTTACAGCGATCGCTGAGGTTGATAATTTTGTTAACACGAAACGCTGAACAATTCAATCACAAACTAAGCGAATTGATTCACGTCTTGCTCTGAAAATTGTGAAGTGGCACAACCAGATGTTCACAAGCTCCCTGTTGAAGTTCCATGCCATGACATGTACTTCACTTCCTGTCCTCCGTAACTTGTATAGCAGCAAAGGATAAGACGCGCTACCTTGCAGCTAACTTGTAAATCATTGCGGTCTGCCGCCATCACCTATGACTAAGCGCGTCATAAGCCGCCGATTTCAAGAAGCCAAGGGTTCGGATGCTGTTTGGGCCCGGGGTGCGCACTACTGGACAGCCCGAAATAGTCGTCTAGTGCTTTTCCCGAACTGTGGGAAGCTATCTGAGAAGAACCCTTGTTTAAAGTGGAAACTACCGCCGCAGCTACTGGTCGCCCAATAACTCTTTAGTAATTGACGACAAAGAGATCAGTGAGTTGTTCAATTTGCGTATGTAGCCAGTTGCATTATTAGTGATGGGTATGACTGATGGAGTTGTCTCATGTAATGCGAAAGGAGCCTTTATACACCTGTGACTTCACTTGTGCTGGAAGCGAGGAAGGTTTATTTTTTGGCAGCAGATTTCCGTCATTCTCTGAGGCAACTTAAAAAAAAATCAGATATCAGCAGTACGCAGTACCGACGCTTCGCTGCCGCGCAACCACCACCGGTCGCACGTGAGCTCAGGATACTGCAAAGTTCACCCTGCCCTATTCAAGCTCGAATCCGTGCCCTCAGATTACAAGACAGGCTGTTGATTCTTAAGGCTAATAACGGGAAACTTAGATACACCCATAATCACGTTTTGCATACTTTCCTGAACCTATAGCTCTTTACCAGGGTCTCCGGACTCGCGACCGTTGTCTTGAGAGCACTGCCACTGCATTCTACATGTTTCGAGAACAGTTGACCTTATGTGAACTAATGAGCCGTTTTGACGGTGGTTTGTTATCGTTATTGTACTCTACCTCTAAATTCTTTTCCTGTTTTAGCCAGTGGTGGTCCTCGTGGCAGTGGTCGGGGTGGCTACGGTCAAAGGCAGAGTTATTATCCTCCGGGCCTAGCTCGAGAACCAATCGCGAGCGATCGACCAGTCACGCAAGATACGGGTGACTTGAATAGTAACAGCTCTAAAGAGGATCGGCCTCGATTAAATTTGAAACCAAGATCTAAACCACTGCAGACGGACGAGGAAAGACAACTTTCGGAGCGTAGCAAAGCTATTTTCGGCACTGGTCGTCCAAGAGAAGCCAGTCCGTTGGCGGCTAGAATAAACGACTTGCCTTCTGGGTAAGTTTTCATCGTACCCTGGCCGCTGAATGGTGATTTGACATGAGATTCTCAAAGAATTCGGTTCCCCCTCCCCGCTTTGCGCCATAGCATCTTTAAACAGTAATCACATTGGGAAGAAATGAGGAAATGTTGAGATTGATCAAGTGGCCCAATAAAAAGTTTATTGAACAGAGAGGTTTGCCTGTCCCTATTTCGTCTAGATCTATGCTTTAGCGAAACATACGTGGCTTACCAATCTTTTTTGAATCAAGTTTTAAACTTTATCCCCCATGCTCTTATGGGGGAGTATTACCGACACACTTCGTTATCGGCAACCGACGATCCTTCGTTTCAAAGCCCGTTTACAAGCAGTGCGCGTTGTTTGCTTCATTATCAATCATCGTCATCATCATCATCATCATACACCTCAGCTGCAGGTGGAAACATCTCAGCTATTGTGCCGCAATACGTTAGAAAAGAAAAGAAATGAGACCGAGGCACGCCGGATGAGTCATCGATAACGAATGGACATCGTTCTGGAGAGGTAACATTCGGCTACTGGGCCGCGAAAAAGGAGTTTTCTTATGCCTAATAAGTGATATCACGGTTGGAGAGGCAGGCTAAGCGGGAGAAGGAACTCACAATACGAACGCCATTGAGGTCGGCTCCTAGCTATGTCGACAACTGTGTCCGGCCAAACGTGTTCATCGTTTTGTAACCGACTTCATTTTTATATAGCATTGCTCATTGCGACCCTAGCTTAGTGACGAAGCTGAGTCATACATCTCCAGCTTAAAATAACGCGAGTGACTCGTTTATACAGAACTCACTTAGCCATTGATGCTGCGAGTTTCGAGACCAATGTCCACTATCTACACTCATTGAAAAATACTAGCGTAGCAACTGACATTTCATGAGCGGATGGTCTACATCTGTTTGATACTTGGCCACGGTACTTGTAGTGGACCCAGTTCGTTTAGCACTGCGGACCAGTGAAATTGTTGTGCAACCATAACAATTAATTATGTTTTGGAGTAATTCTCTACTTACCATGGAGATAAGGAGTTTGCTTTGTGATCCAAAGGTCGCCGCATAGGTGCAGCAAAACCTCGCGGTATATACAACTCACGTGCGACGAGTGGTGGTCGCGCGGCAGCGAAACGTCGGTACGGTGTGCCGGTCATCTGTCATCTCATGAAAGCCCGTCCGACTAACCACCTTATGTCACACTTTACAATTATGTAAGTAAAACTATATCGCAAAACTTCACTCATGGGTACCTAAAACACCGTCGTTTACTTCGGTAGTTGATGTTACATTTGTCCAAACCGGACTCTTAATTTCTTCAGTCGGAACATCCGGCTTCATCTTCAGGGTTTACGGATTCAACCAGTCGTGACAGATCTTCCTTCGTAACTAATGCAGAGTTGCGTTTGTTATGCAATTTACTTGTTCCCATTTTCGATTTTCGTTACCTTTGCTTAGATCTGCATCTGGATCAGGGTCTGAAACAACTGGAAACACGTAAATTCTGTTTTCGCGACGATCAACATCACAGCTCGGCAACCTCCTGTATTCGCAGCTTCGTTTGATTCAACTGCTTGATTAACTCCGGATCTAGCACGGTCGCGAATATGTTGAGTTCTGAACTGTCCCGCCCCTTCAGCGGCCTTACTGTGTCCCACTACGAGTGTACTAAGTCCATTTTCCCCTTCATTTCCATCTTTTCTGTACAGGTTGCCAGCTGACTTGCATTCTTCTAAGCTTCTCTCTTTATGAACCTGTAAATTTCTGTCGTAAAGTGTACATCGATGTGATCAAACTCACTGCGGAAAGTTCCGCGAGAACTCTTGCTTCCACTTGCTTCATTGTGCACATACTAATAAAGTTGTATAGGTGGAATTCGACTTCTCTTTCTACTGTCTAGGTTTGATCAATATCACCGATTGCGCTCTCTTTCTCTGTGTCGCTGCTTCAGCCAGTGATTGCCGGCTGTTCCTTTCAGGCATGGGTGGGCGCTACTACTGCGAGTATTGTGATAAAACCTTCCCGGATAACTCGGTGAATCGGAGAACCCATTTGAATGGCACTCAACATCAGCAAGCACGGAAGTTGCATTACGACCAATATCTAAGTGGGTTTCGTGTGCGTTCCGCTTTATCTGGTTTAGCTGCGCAAGAAAAGTATGCTGTTGAATCATCGAAAAAACCATGCATCGCCTTCGTCAGAACAGGTTTGTCCTTTATCTGTCCAGTCAACCGTTTTACGAGTCTCTTTTAAGGTAGCTGCAACTACGGTGTCTCTTGTAAATATTCTCATCAGACCCCAGAAGAGATGCTCCAGTTGCAACAAGCAGCCAGTATGTCCTAGTTGTAATCGTTTTTATCTGTAACGAAGCTGCGCAGCTGAACCACACCACCTATTTAGCTTGGCTACTGTCAGAAGAAAGAATCAGTAATGCCATACAGAAATTGGAGACTGCAGCCGAGAAGAGACGGTTGGAACGAACTCACAAGGCTAAGAGTACTATTTTGCGTTGCGGCATAGATCTTCCACCATCGCTTTCTCTTGTCCCGACCACTTCCAATTAAACCAATTGCATGTGGATGTGGTTTACCTGTCTCAATGCCATTTGCGGACGACGTGATGCTGTTCGCCCGAGTGTAAATACACCGGCGCCCGCATTGATCGAGTATTTGTAACTCGGATGTTTCCCACTTGATAATTTTCCATGATAAAGGGATTCTTCTCAACAGATTTAGCCTTCTTGACCATCGTATTACCATAACCGCGATCCATACCGTCACTCCGATTCCGTTAATTAACTGTGTTCCAGGAATAGAAGCGTTACCATGATCCACACTAAGAGACATAATCATCAACAACCGGGTAAAACGGAGGAGAAACAATTAAACAAAGATAGATCTTCAAGAGAAGAGGAATGAAAACTGTTGTAATCAGATGAAGAGTTAATCACTAGGGGCCACCAACCCTATGCGAAAGCACTAGTTTCACGACTGTGCCATCTCAGAGGCGGTCTCCAACCGATGACGTGGCCCCATCCAAAAGGGCAGCGTCAGTAAGTCTTACGACCAGCTTCGCAGTGCCATCTTGCACTTTATTACTCTACTGCTTCACCCGACCGGGCAGTTTTAGTGAACATATGCCGGTGCAGGTGGTCGACAGTGTGTTAACGCGTTCAGGTTCTGAACAAGACTCGGACAGACCCAAGGACATTTGTGAACAGATGCTGAATAACGTCTATCCTCTCCTTGACATGTGGAGGAGGATCTGATTTGGATGCTGGTGAGATGAACTCTCAGCTAATTAAATCAAAATAATGAGTACATCAAAATATTGGCCTCAACAGCTTTTAAGTGCTATGTCAAACGTAGCTGCTGTCATTAGGCGTCATGTCTTTCGGAGCCAGACCTGTCCTCTGCAACGTTCGTAACTCGCATGGCAGTGGAAAACAGGACGCGATATATCACAGTTAGCTTGCAAATCATGACGGTCCGACGCTGTCCCCTGTGGCTCAGTGGCATAAGCGGCTGATTGGCGATGCAGGCCGCTGGTGGTCATGGGTTCGAATCCCGCTGGATTCGATTGATGCGCACCACTGATTCCACACAAATAGGTTAAAACTGCAATCTAGTGCTTTTCAGGGCATGTGGAGGATTATCTGCTTCAGAAACTAGTGCGACGTATTCTCAGTTACTTCAGAATCCTCCACTCATAACTAGAAATCTACTCAGTTGGCTTGGTGGCCTAGTTAGGTACCAACTATTCGGCGCAGACGCCGGTGGCAAACGCGACCGGTTTTATCATTGTTATGTGGCCATGTCCCTAATACATAGAATAACAATGGCCGCTGCAGATAACTGATAAGATAAAATCACCCCACTCCATAGATAATTTAGGGTTTGGGAAGCTCGTCATCAACAGCAGTACATCAGCCATTTGAACTGATGCTACGCTGCCATTCAACCGCAAGGAACTACGAAACAAAAATAATAAGAGAGAGAGAAGGGAGGCTTACCGGAAAACCTTAATGCCCTAAGCAAACATACAGGGTCAAGACGCATACACCTTGACAACAACGAACGGTCACAAACAGCTGGCTATTGTGCAAACATAAGGTGGCGTCAGCCAGACAACTTCCTTGCGATTTTCACCGCCACGCGTCATAATCAGACATTACTGCGCAGCTAACTCAGCACCAAACACAATTTAAACAGGCAGTCCGACTAGCAGACGCGCCACTGGTGACAACTTTCCTATGAAGTCTCGGGTTAAACACAGCGCATCACGTGGACTCCATCCTGAAAGGCGAGACGGATCAAAAGTACCCAGTTTTCCATAATTTCTTTTTCCACTGCCACACTACATCTGGTAAACAAAACAAGGCTCTCATCGGTAAACGGTGCTTGGGCATACGTAGTATTTGCCCTAGCCAACGCAACTTATTCATTTCCATCTGGTGTTTTAAAAATCTTGCTCCGTTATCATCCCCTAACACTCCTACGCACATCATCGTTGCGGACACGCTGGTGCCATCCGACGTTAGCAATGCTCCGCAGATAACGATGATCAAAGAATTGAAGACGCCTCAGACCGAAGGGGCCAAGTCTCACTCCCATAGAATAGGGCGGCCCTCATTGTGGCTTAGTAAACACGGCCTTCCAACCGGAGGGCACCCCCCCTTCTGACTCCAAAGATGTCGCAGATTCAAGAAGGCAGTTTTTGCAACGTATGAACTGACCTAACTAGTTATGCGCCCATCGTTGCTAATGCAGCTGCCAAGGTAAATGAATTGATCAACTACCTCGAGTTCCCCTCCATCAAGTGTCAAGGCATCATCAAACGGCTGGTGGTCTTGCAAGGACACTGAAGGCGCGAAATGCATGCCAAATAGTTAGACTACTAGAGAGGCTATCCATGGTTGACCGAACAGCAAGATAATATCGTTCACGTAATCAAGAGCAACCAGCGTTTCACCAGGCAGCACTTCAACGCTGGCATCGTGAGATTCCACAAGATAACACCCCATGATGTAATCCACAGCGAATTTGAACAAAAATGGAGAGATTGGGGCAACCCTGAGAAATATCGCTTGTTGTTGGAAAGATGTCCGACAGGTCACCATAGACGCGCAGCCTGTGGTAGTTGGCTAAGTGTGACGCTGCTCTTGCACCTACCGCAGTACAAATAGCTAGTCTATACAGCACCGTCCCGGGCAGAAACCTGCCTGCTCTTCCCTAATCCGGGATTGTCGTTCCGCAGTAGGTTGTAGGAGCTCTTCTTAGTTGCTGGTTGCTGAACTAATGCCCCGTCGCTTTTGGATGCCGTGAAGAAGTAGAAGGATGTGTAGTAACCTCATTATTTTGCCACTTAAGTTTTCGTAGGACAACACTCTTAATCAGCTGACGTTTTACCAGCCATATCGATCATCTTTTAGGAATCCAGCCAACACCTAATCGATCAGCGAACTTTGAACAACCGATTGCTAAGGTGTACCAACATCAACAGCGTTCTTTTTCAGGCTTTCCCTTCTTCTTCCATTATTGATTTGTGGGGGCATTAAAATACATAGATGGGAATGCATCATTCTACTTCTTCACGGCATCCAAAAGCGACGGGGCATCACTTCCGCAACAGCAACTGAGGAGAGCTCATACAAGGTGGTAACCCCGACGTAACTGAAACGAGCATCAGGAACGACGAAAATGTCAAGTGGTGCCTGTGTATGGCGCTGCACTTTTAAACATTGATAGGGGAGACAATTTCTCATCATGCTCTGCACGTCTTTGTTCAGTGTTGGCCAAACAAAACGGTCGGAAATGAGTTTGCGAGTTGCGCGGATGCTTGTGTGTGATAGACCATTTAGTGAATCAAATATGACTCGCCGATTGGTTGCTGGAACTACATGACGTGGCTTTTTTGTAGAGCCGCCACACAGAACATCTGAACTATTAGGCGGCGGAATGGGTTTCACCTGTAAATTGTTTCCTTGAAGGAATTGCTTATCATGACGCTGTGTTGTTCTTACATCCTGGAGATCAACTGGGGAATGTTCAAATAAGTGGTTGATTTCCACCCCTGATCAGGCATCTGCTACGGTGTTATTCACACCGGACGAATGCCGTATATTAGAGGTAAATTGGGAAATGTAATCCAGTTGTCTAGTTTCTCGTAGGAAAAGTCGATCAGAAGCGGAACGCTGTGCATACGCTAAATATGGTGAAGGTACGTCCTCCCAAGTAATGCCGGAAATGACGCATATTGAGATAAACGGCTAGGAGTTCTCTGTTAAACATACTATAAGCGTCTGCACAGCCACGACGCGTTTCGATGTAATTTTCATCTCATCAGGTGGAGACAGCAGGATTTGAACCCAGGACCATTGGAATAGCAGCCAACACTACTACCCCTTTGGCTACCGGGTCACGATGGGCAACGCTTTTTGTCACAACGGTAGATGACTAATTGGAGGGTCAAGTTTGGATTACACGTTGTGTGATTGGATTGCGACACGCAACCCGGTAGCCAAAGGGGTAGTAGTGTTGGCTGCTATTCCAATGGTCCTGGGTTCAAATCCTGCTGTCTCCACCTGATGAGATGAAAATTACATCGAAACGCGTCGTGGCTGTGCAGTGTTTTCGGGTGGGCAATACCCAATTTCCATCTCCTTTGAATACGGTCCCAGCGATCGCAGTGACTAAGGTTCATTTCAATGTGAATCACAGTCCATTAAATTGAGGTTGCGTGTCGCAATCCAATCACACAACGTGTAATCCAAACTTGACCCTCCAATTAGTCATCTACCGTTGTGACAAAAAGCGTTGCCCATCGTGACCCGGTAGCCAAAGGGGTAGTAGTGTTGGCTGCTATTCCAATGGTCTTGGGTTCAAATCCTGCTGTCTCCACCTGATGAGATGAAAATTACATCGAAACGCGTCGTGGCTGTGCAGTGTTTTCGGGTGGGCAATACCCAATTTCCATCTCCTTTGAATACGGTCCCAGCGATCGTAGTGACTAAGGTTCATTTCAATGTGAATCACAGTCCATTAAATTGAGGTTGCGTGTCGCAATCCAATCACACAACGTGTAATCCAAACTTGACCCTCCAATTGACCCTCCAGTACTATAAGCGTCATTCGGCAGGCCGTAGTTTCTTAGAAAAAAAACAATCAGATACAATTCACCTTTCTGCTACTGTTGTAGCACCACCTACTGCTGCATCCGAGGCGTTCACCGTTAACTGTGACGGGGCCTTCGGGTCAAGATGCACGAGAAGAGTGGCAGTTGCTAGCTGATATCTTAGATCAGTGAATGCCTGTTTAGCTGATTCCGTAAATCGGACTGGTTTAGCATCCAATTAGAGTATTTCGGTAAGTGGCTGGGCTAACTCGGAACAGTGTAGACGTTAACCATGCCAACAAATCGGCGTAACTTTTT